GAGCCTTTTGTATTGTCTCACTCCATTCTTCAAGGTTGTCTGCTTTCACCTTTGCTTTACGTTCTTGCGTTGGAACCTTTCCTTTGCAAGTTAAAGGCAAATCTGGTCCTGCACGGAATTTCCATGCCTGGAGCTACCACCTCGGCCAGGTATTCTGCCTATGCTGATGACGTTTTGGTTCTTGTGTCGAGCAGAGCCAAGATTGATGAAATCAGCAAAGAGATCAGTGGTTATGAAATGGTGACAGGGGCCAAGATCAACCGTGACAAGTCTGTTGGCTTGCGGTTGTGTGTGTGGAAGGAGGTTTCTCTTCCCGGACCTTTCCTTGAAGCTGAGGGCGGAAGTATGTGTTTCACACATCTACCTGATTCTCCTTTACCGACTCTCTGTGCTTCCACTTCTGTCTGGCACTTTACTTGCGTTAGTGAGGCTCTTGTTCTCCTTCTTTTGGGGAGAAAAGGCTGCCAGAGTCTCTCAGGAGATCGATTGCCTTCATCCATCTGAAGGCAGTCTGGGCACGCCTAACATTGAGATTTGTCAATATATGCTTCACATCGCCTTCCTAGACCGAATGTGCCACAAATCGGATGAGGTGGGCGCCTTCTGAAAGGAAGACCTCCGTAGAAAATTCCCATCCCTGAGAAGTGTGCACTCAAGCGAGGAGGAGGCCCACTGTACACCCCGAGCCGAATGCTCCTTCTACCGCGAATGTTGCTGTGCTCTAAAATGTCTCTTAGGGGCGTCGGATGGCCTCTCCAATCGTGATGAGCTGATTGACGAGCTCAGCCTTATGAAGCAGGAGGCTTGCTCAATATGGCCTTGGGCACCTGGGTTGAAATGCCTCAATAACCATGAAGCATCACTCATCTGGCTGATGATTCATGGGGCCCTCTGGGTCACCAAAAGACTGTTCAGCGGGCTTGGAGAAATCTCCAAATTGCTGATGCTGTAGTGGGGAAGTCGAGACCATTGGTCATGCCTTCTTTCATTGCAGGGTGGTAGTGCCGTTGTGCAAGTTTGTTGAAGGCTTCATGGTCCGCATGCTGCAAGGAAAGTTTTTTGTCCTTGAGTCCAGTTCTGTTTATAGCAATGTGGTGCCACAGATGATGAAGGCTGAACAATATATGTTTATTTGCTTACTAGGTGTTATGAGAGACATGTTTTAGACGACGCATCAGAAGGGATTCTATGATGGTGAATGGTTCACTTCTTCCCAACTGATCTTGTTCTTTAAGCACCAGCTTAAAGTCAAGATTAAGACGGAAAGGTGGCGACTCACCTCATCAGAATTTGGCAAAAGATGGATGAATCTTGCACGTTTGTGCCGAGTAAAAGAGGCTGACCTGGAGTGGCATTTTGATGCCGGTTAGGCATCAGGATATTGTTTTTCTATATGGGTGTTTCTATATTGCAGGATTGCTTGTGCTGCCATGTCATTGTCCAAGGAACACTGGTGTCCTGTGCAGTCTTTTATCATTCTTTTTGCAGTCTTGACTGCTAATTCTGCTCGTCCGTTAGACTGGAGATAGTCCACTGATAAAATTCTTTGTTTAACAGCCCAGTTCTTTAGGAAGTGTTGGAATAAGCAGAGAAGGGCGGCCCACTGTCTGTACTAAGTTCCTCAGGCACACCATATGTTTGAAATGTTTCTCTGCAGATGGATATCAACCTCGAGGCAACTGCTTGCCCTGGCTTGATGTGGTACAGAATGAGCCATCCAGTGAGCCTGTCAGCACAAGCAAGAATATCTTACTTGTGATTACACTAGTCTACTTGTGTGTCAGACCACTTGTAAGCTAACCAATATTCTACACATACCACTTGGCTCTTTAAGACTAATTAGGAAGAAATAAATAATTAATTCTGGAGCTGATGTTCTTACGAAAAAGTTTATAAAAATTAATGAAATCTTGCTCCAAATGGGAGACACAGATATCACTAAAGTCCGTGTCACTCTAGCTGCCAATCTTCACAACCTCATTCATGTCACACAAAAAGCAACAGTGATGGCTAACTAGAAAGAGACTGCTTCAGACCATGCCACCACAGTTCACAGTAAGAACCTAATTCTAATTATCTCTGGTATCCCCTTTACTATTAGCCATGCACATGTGCTGACTCTTTCACACAATATTTTATGCCATCGAATTGAATCCCAACACTCCGAATTTTGACATTCAATGAAAAACCAAGTAGAAGGATTCCTACAAGCCTAACTAGTATTGCTGTAAGACTGATACAGGATATAAAGAGGCCTCAAAAGCATGGTCCTGCCATGAGATGCATATTTTCTCTTAGTTGCGTCTCTGTCTTCAGGCAAAGTGCAACTCAGTTGTGGCCTGTTTACAGACAGTCACAGTCAAGGAAAATAATACTTTGAGGTGCCCGGCCCTGGGGAACAGCTGCCCGAGGCTGCACCCTCTCATTACACTAGAGAAGGAGATCAGTGCTCACCACTGAGGCCAGCACAACCAATGGGTATAGGGGCTTGGGCAATTTTGTTAAGCCTGACCTTGTGTTGTATCACATCACAGTGGGAATACAAGGGTAAATAACTGCCTTCCACATTCATGCTGAGGGTGGATTATCATCTCTCAGTTGTGCCTCTGTCTTCGGGCAGAGTGTGACACAGTTGTGGCCTATGCCTGTGGACACAGCTGCAGCTGAGGAAAATAATACTTTAAGGTGCCTGGCTGAGGAACAGCTGCCCGAGGCTGCACCTTCTCATTGCACTAGAGAGGGGGATCGGTGCTTGTCACCAAAGCTGGCACAACTGACATTTGCAGAGGCTTGGGCAATTTTTGTACCTGGCCTAAGTGTATGTGCTTGGTTTCCCCACATTAAGCCCGACCTTGTGTAGCATCTCATCTCAGTGGAGAGACATGAATAAATACACACATTAAAGGATTATCATCTCTCAGTTGCATCTGTTAGACTCATTTGTGTACACGCTCAGGTTCTCCCTATAAAACCCCACCTTGTGTCACATTTTGTCTTGTCAGAAATTTGATTTCTGTATCTATCTTTCTATCTCTCTTACTTTCCTTCCTCCTCTCCTTTTCCCCGTGTGCAGTGTAAGAACTGCTGCTGCTGTGTCACGTGGCGAAATCATGTTTAACGATTGGTCGTACATGATTTTCCCCGCTCGTTTTCGACTAGATTAGAGGAATCTAGTCAGTAGTAGCAGAAAAGGGCGCCGCAGTGTGGAAACGATAAGTCGTCTTGTCTTGTGACGAAAAGGAAACCTGCTTGAAGATAACCTGTTGTTGCTCTGACAAGGAATACTGTCATAAAAGACCAGTCAAGAATATTTGTCTAAGAGAATTGAAGATAAAGAACAAGTGTGTTCGCCGTGTGGAAAAAGCTTATTCTCTAGACAAGTGAAGTCAAGTCTGTTCAAGTAATCAAGTGGATTATTGTTCAGCAACCAAGTCAGTAAAGACTTATCTAAAAAATCAGTTAAAGAAATTATTGTAAAGAGAATTTACAATAGAACATTCTCAAGGAAGTCTTCTTTCGACAATCGGGTGAAGAAGAGAAAAAAGTCAAAATTAAGCGATTGAAAAAGCTACCTTCCTTCGAGGAGTTATTTTGTCCTATTGGTGGACGAAATTCTGACGTGAAAAAGTATGTGAAAAAAGATCTTCTAAGTCGTCTCTAGAAGTTGAATTTTGTGTCAGAGAAAGTTTGAAAAAACAAGTCTGCATTTATTTTTTTAACAGGAAGCTTGCTTATCTTCCAAGGAGAGCAACTCAAAAATATCTAAAAACCTTTCTGCCCAGGCTGCAAAAAAAAAATACTAAAAAGCAATTTTTTTTTTTTGAACAGTAAATCTAATTTTTCCCCCTTTTCTGCTATCTCTCTACCTCTTTCACTCTCTCTGAACTGTTATTGGAGTCCTTTTTAAGGCCTCGCCAAGGGACGTTTTTGGCAGTTATTTTCAAGTTGTACCAGTGAACTTTAACATCAGACTATTCCCCCCCATTTCTTTTTTTCTTTTCCCTCAATAAATTTTATAGCTATTTCAAAGTGGTGTTTCCTTCTTCTTTATCTCGCTTGTTATGGTTGTATATTCATGGTTTCAGCTCTCTGTTAACTGTGTTACGTGGGATTCCCATCATTGGACGTAATGACAAAGTTTCCCAACCTTTTTTGTGCCGAGTTTGGCTGTTACTAAGCTAAATTTCGACAGTCTCAGTGGAGAGACTGGGGTAAATAACATGACTTCCATGATCAAGATGACAAGGATCAAAGTGTAGTACCTGCTCCAGAAGGAGCTGACAGCAGGCCATCAGCAGCAGTTCCAACTAACCAACCATCATCATCTTCAGTCATCTCTAGTAGGCCTCCAGCTAGCCCCAACAGGCTTCCCACTCCAGCCATCCTTGCCAGCAGCAATGATATGAAATAAACCATCCATTTCAGAACACTGCTCTTCATCAACCACAGAAACTGTCTTTTTCAGGATAATGCTCTCCAGTGACAATGAAACAACTGTCCAGCAACTACCAAGACTGTCCTCCTCAGGACAACGCTATTTCTCACCCTCTACATGAGCTTGCAGAGTTACCTTTGGCCTAGTTCACACTAACATCATTTTTGTTTATGTATTTTTTCTTTAACAAAAATAAACTTGGTAATATACTTGTTACTCAAGTCTTTGTTTTGTTTGTTGCTGTCTTCTGTCATTTGATATTGGTTTGTGAGCCAATATATCACCCGCAATACCATCACTGCTTTCATTCAAATTCCAAATCATAGTTTCTCTTTTGGAAAGGTTTATTTCATGTCCTACTTCTTCGAATAATTGGTATAACATGTACTTTTTTTCAAATATCATTGTTATAAAAACTATGAATATCTATGTTATCAGCAGAGTCCCCCCCATCATAATAATGAAGTGATGATAAAACAGTTTGCTATTTTCTGACATCCAGGTTGATTTTGGTGCCACAAGAGAGACATTGCTTCAGTAAATTATTGACTATACAAAACCTTACCTGTATTTTCCAAAAAATGTTTGAATGAAGGACAAACCCATCACAATGTAGCTGACCACAAGTTTAAATTGCTCATACTCATGTTTGTATATAAACCTAGATTGAATAAAAAACAAGCATTAGAAATTATAATAGTACTCAAACTATAACTAAAAATAAAAGGTTTTTCATTTAAAAATAAACAACACTTAATATAAGACAGGAGAGAGGAAGCTGCTTATGACCATTTTGGAACAGGGTCTTGTAGATTGATTTGTTTTCAGTGGCTTATCACCATTTTGCAGGTTATTTAATGCCAGAAAATATTTCTTGATTGTAAGAATTTTTTTGAGATAATGATGGTTAATTCACCCATAGCTGGGAGGAGAAGAGGTGGATTAATATTTTCCCCAAGGGTATTTATGCATAAGCGAATATAACTATACTGAAACTTGGCTCTCCAATTAACAATTAAGAGCCATTATCTATTATACCACCTGAAAATCCAAGCTTACAGCACCTGGTATTCCTAAGCAGTAACTCATCTAGGTACTGACAAGAATCAGTGTTGCTTAACTTCAGTGATATGGCCATAGGCCTAATCTTGTAGATAATCAGCTGATAACAATAAGAGAAAAATTGTAATAACTTACATTCATTGTTATAAATCTATTATAAACAAGTTTACATTATAAAAACTAATGCAAAATTTAGAAACTGATTTTTCAATTCATTTTGATAATAACCATTATATTGTAATAAACAGCATCTGTATTTAGTTTTTAAAATCAAAGGAAAAAAAAAATTAAAGATTTGATGTTGAAAATAATTTGTAAAGAAAAAATCACTAAAAAGATTTTGTAGATATATGATTATTTTTTACTTATAATTTTAAGGGATCAAACTTTCTTAATTTGTTAAAAGTTCTTTTTTATTTGGTCAAATAATTTGAGTGCGTCTTTTAGAAAAAGGTGAAGGAATTTTCAGAAGTCAAAACACTAAATAAACATGCAAATTAATATCTGCAGGGAACTTGAAATTGTCAAAATTCATATTCAGCAATATATAATGACATGCCTAAAGCTTATTCCTCTCTCCTTCATTACAATTAAATTTATTGTGCTTTAAATGTTTTTCTGCTCAGATGGGACCAATTTTTATACATTCAAAAAGTCTTAAAATTTTTTAATTAAAACTAGAAAATTAATGAAAAATTCTAGGTTTATACAAATTATAGTGTTAAATTTTAAAAAAAAAAGAAGCTTTTTTTAACATTTTAAAAATAAAATGATTACATGTAAACTGCAGTACCAAAACATTAGAAACAGTTAACAAATAACATAGGTTCTCACTTTGCTTGAAAAACAGCAGCTACATAACACAACATGCAGTCTATAAAGATGGTGGAGTTGTTGCAAGGGTATATCCAGGCATGCTTCAGAGTTGTCCAGAGTTGTGTTTCTTGGGAGTAAAGAATTTAATGAGGCTCGCAATAGGTTTCCTAGATTCTTATCAGGGTTTAAATCTGGCAAGGACAGAGGTCAATAGAATACCAGGAAGTCAGCCAAATATTCCTTGTCAGTCAAGCATTAAGAGGCAAGGATCTTACATTATCATACTAGAACAAACCACCACACCAAAACATGAGTAAAAAGAAGTGTAAATGGTCAGCAACAAGATCTGTGTATGTCACACCTATCACAACAAACTCCAGTTTCACTAGTGACCCATGAGAAGTCCATCAGTACATAATTTACACCATTAGAGAGCCACCACCAGCTTACACAACACTGCTGACAGGCAAGACCCATAGATCCATCTGGCCTCCTCTACATGCAAACTCAACTGTCTGCTTGAAACAGCTGGAAACTTAATTCATTTGACCAGGTGATATGATGCCAGTCTTCCATAGTTTGATGACAATATTCCTTGGTTCAGATAAGACATGATAATTGATATTTGATCAATAATAGTACCATGACTAGTTGACAATCAAATACCATAAAATGCAGGGTTCACCATAAAGTTTCTTGACAGATGCATTGAACAGCATGGAACCAAAATGTGGTATTTACTTTTGCTGGTCCCATTTTCACATCACCTATGGAAACTCAGTTTGCATGTGCTGCTGATGTTTGCCTGAAATTTAGATCTTTTATACTGTTGCCTGAAAAATCTAAAGTAGATGCTACCTTGGTGATATCATTTACCATCTTTTTGGCAATGTGGACATCTTGCGGTCAAGTTTTGTCTGTGTCTCATAGCTACCAAGGTTAAAATATTTGTTGTCTTTTGGCACTTCAATTTTATATATATATATATATATATATATATATGAGTGAATATTGAAGTCAACACTCAGAGGCGACAGGCTGTTACATGCTAGATGTAATCGTCAGGCCGTATGGCTAACAGGTGACTTCAATGTTCACTTTTATATTTACATATGCTCTATCTCTGATATTGAGCACTTTATCCCATAAATATAGCACACCTTAAAACTATATTTCTTTATATACACACACATTATATATATATATATATATATATATATATATATATATATATATATAAAGGCTGCTTGCTTTCCAAGTAACTACATCTGCTAGAGTAGCTAGCTAATCTTTGATGTAGACACTTACTTGGTCACATTTATTTCTTCAACACCTACAGTTAACCTACTTTATACTGCAGCTATACTGAGCAGACATTAGTTTATGAATAAGAGCACATCTTCAGTTTGAGCAAGGCCAGTATGACTTGTGAATATGTGTGAGCACAACCATTGACAACTTCAAAACAATTTTGTTTAACCAATTTCACTTTCACTCATAAGGCTTGTGTCAACCTATAGTATGATTTACAGGCACTTTCCATCAGTTCTGCATGCTGGGATCATCTCATTTGACATGAAGAAGTTACCTCCCTAACAAAACAACCATAGAGAGAATTGAACCATGGTTATATGTAGATTTTAAAAAATGCAACTATGAACAGTTAATTCATATAAATGACCATTGGTTAATGGCTTGTATACCATTTTCTTTAGTAGTTGTATTGTACTTACTTGTCATCTTTGTTGAGAAGTGAAACATTGACTTGTCCAAGAATAATACTCAAGTATAACCTATAAGGAGAAATGAAGACAATATCAGATGTGGAAAAGAAAGCAAGTGTAGTGAGTCTTGATAAAAATAAAGTATTTAAACAAAACTAAAAAGGATTCAAATTAAAATAAGGCATTTGTGCTTTCCTTTAAAATCCTTATTTCTTTTTTTCCTCTCTCTGAACTCTTTCTACACTTCTTTCAACCTACAAGAAGGCAGCCTTTAAATAAAAAGAAGAAGAAGAAAATACTGAACCCAGCCCAAAACACTGGAGGTTTGCAGGAGCAGAGCTTACTTATTTGTGACTGAAAAGTTTCTCAAAACAAGAAATTTCGAAAACCCATCCAGTCAGTATGCATTTCCTGGCCACTGAATGTAGGGCCAATAATCTGGATTTGTGATAGTTTTACAACGAATTAGGACAAACTCCTATCCATCTCTTGGGGAAGTCTGGAGACAACAATTTCAGAGAATCAGTTGCGGCAGGGAGGAATTTAAGCTCAAGATCCTCAAGCTACATCCAGAACCTTAACAAATACTTCAGGGATTCCTTCTCAATGTCCACCCAGTCCCCCTCCTCAGAAGATTGAAGTTGCAATTTGTTAACGCAAATCTCTACCTCCATTAGGTATTCTAATACATTCTTTTGAAGAGTCAGTCTTCATAGAGAGTTCGTCCTCCTGACAAACAACATCTAGATTTATCCTGATCTTTGATTGCAGAAGAGAAATCCTTCTCGGTAATCTGTCATTGCTATTATCATATCACATATCAGTCGCAAATATTTGCGACTGATATTTTCACCCTGCTCAGGGCTGAGAAAAACACAGTAGATTGACGTTGACTTAGTTTCTGAGATTACTACTATCCCTATTTTGGACAATTTGACTGTTCAGGTAGGGGGAAAAAGCAATGTACTTAACTGAGTTTATTTCTTACTAACTAAAAATGGTTATGATTTTACTAACTTTTTATATTACAGGAGTCACGTGACTTTATTACCTTGTGATCCATGAAGTAATTATAAGGGAAGTTTTTTTCCGTTTTACTCACATATTACTTAATGCAAGTTATTAGACAATCATGTTATGTTGCAGAAAGGAATATTCTTTTGCAACTTAAGAAAGTAAGTGCTTTTGCTTCTTTTTTCCCGCCTGAACCATCTTTAGATGGTTTTGGGTGGAGATTTTCTCAACATTTTGTGAAAGAATAATCTTGCACATATGGAGATAGATAACAGTTTGTCCTAATTTGTTGTAAAACCATCACAAATCCAGATTACTAGCCCTACATTCAGTGGCCAGGAAATGCATACTGACCGGATGAGTTTTCGAAATTTCTTAGTCGGAGCTGATGAACATAGAGGTAAAGATGGATTTGGCAACAGTGTTGGCGTGGGTTGAGTCTGTTAATATGAAGGAGAGCAGGATATGAACTAAGGGAGCAGCAGAGATGCTTATAAAGCGTAAATTGGGAATTCTGGGCGACGTCATTAAAGAGATTGACCTACCGGTTAGAGCCAGCCTTGTATCCTCGGAGGCTAATAAGGACAATGTGCTCACAATGGTGAGGAAAGCTTGGATGAAAATGCCCCTTGATGCAGCCAAAGAACATACCATGTGCAATGTTGAAGATGGGGATTGTCAAAAAATTGCACAAGATGCACCACATGGGTGTTGAGGGGACGTTATATTTGACCAGGATGGTAGACCCGACTGTCTCTAGGGGAGTCGTGCGTAGAGTAGTGTGTGCATGCCAATCAATTGATCCCACACCAAGTATGCATGAGGCCAGTGAAGTTCATGTCTCAAACAATTGGGCAAGACTAGAGATTGACGTCATGCATTACCAAAATGGATAATAATCCTAATGGATAATGGCACAGCTTTCAAGTCAGCACCAGTCAAGGCAGTACTGGATAGATGGTATGTGCAAGTATATTACAAGGCTGCATACAGACCTAGTGTAGAGAAACACCACAAAACTGTGAAGGCAATAGCTGACAGGAGTCAAATATCACCAATTGAGGTGGTCTACTGGTATAACAGGAGGAGGATTCTGTACTGCAGCGTGCAATATTTCAGTACAAGTGGAGACATCCACTGGTCATCCCCAAAAATGAATCAGCAGGGAGGCAACCTGATACAATATGGGGGCAGGGAATGGTGACTGGAATACAGTCACAGAATAATGTTTCTGTAGATATTCACTGGATAATGGTGATAGTACTATTGCCCTACACCCTCCCTGGTTGTCCAAGATGTCCATCACCTGCAGTTGATCGAATAGGTGATCGCTTTGATCCAGGCCTTGCCTTATCCCACATTGTGATTTGCATTGATCATAAGGCAGCTAAGATCAAATTGTCGTCAGGTATCTTTGTATTGGGCTGGTCTAAGTAGGGTGAAGATGCAAAGAAAGAAAATAGCACTCAAATAAAAAAAAATAAATACTATTTTTTATACAAGGCTCTTCGTACAACAGTTGGTTAATTGTTGTTAAATCCTAGGAGTTTGTATACAGACAATTGTTGGCCCAACCCGCTTCTAAGTCAGATGTGATACTTTGTTGACTTGGTAAAGTTTGTTTTGCTGATTTGGTGAAGTTTGGCACAAGGCTGATGTCAGAGGTTCTTGTCAGCAGATAATGACGTTGGGTGTCTTGCGTCTGGTGGCTGAAATGATTTCTTTTCTTGCTTTGGGGCATTCCTATTTATTGATGATTGCCTAAAACTGACACGGGGTATGACAAAGCTGGAGAATTCGGTATTTCCCAAACTTTAAAAAAAATCCCCTTTCTGCTGTCTGGGTTTTGAAAAATTAATTACATCCCCGGTTGGAATATTTCTCCCTTCCTTGGATGATGGTTGCAGGCATCAATCCGCCCCATAACTTCCACTTTCTCTCATTACCATCTCCCAACAATACTCCTGAGTGGGCATGGGTATCCCCCTCCACCTTCCTTGGTGTCTCATTTGCACCCACTACTTCAGCAACCCTCCAACCAAGGGATGTTGACTGCCTCGGGGTGAAGACAAAAGAAACATTAATTCTAATTCATTATTGAAGAGTAAGCGTTCTCAAAGCAAATTTGTGGCTTTCACAACACAAAGAAAGAAAATCACTTGTAACGCGTCAGGAAAATAACTCACGAACGCCGTAGCCAAAAATGCCCGAATTTTCCTTCCCCGAGTCGAAAACACCAACTGCTTTTATCGGCAGAACCTATTTTTTCCATTCGTCGACAGCCGGGATAGGATGCTCCATAATTTGCATATTAATATACACTTATAGCGACTCCTGCGACGGACTTGTTTCTTTTTCGTGGCTTGGGTTGACGAGGTAAGTCGCTATAAGAGTTTTGCTGACTACTTTTTTGGCAATCCCTCCCCGGCAGATCGCACACAAAACACGAACTTTTTTCCGGGGTACTTGATTATTTCGTTCACTACACTCCCCCCTGTCACATAAGTGACACTCATGGGCGGGCCTCTTTATTCTTAAGCTTCTCCGGAGCGGGGCGACTGTTGGAGGAGATTGTGTGTTATATTCTGAGGTTTCTTCTGATCTGACAACCTCATGCACAGAGTCTTCATCATCTGAAGAATGTTCTGAGGATTCTTCTGGTCTGACAACCTCACGCACAGAGTCTTCACCATCTGAAGAGGTGCCAGCCCTACCTCCGATGGTAATTATTTGTTCACTTTCTGAGCACTCACTGCTAGTGTCACTTGTTGACGTATCTGTACCTACATAGTGACGCAAGTCCTTTGTGTCTTGGTATGCCATCAACCAGCACAGAACGCGAAAGTTACTTAGTCCAGTGACATGCCCCCCCGTACCGGGTTGTACACCGCTATGTGGAGATTTCACCCACACGCGATCGCCCAAGTCATACGGGCGCTCGTTTGTTTATCCGTTCAGTTGAACGCGTTGCGTCAATGCCTCGTAGCCGGACTTTGTACTGATAAATCATGTTGGCTGGCGAGTTGAGGGCGATACATTATTGTCTCTCAGAGTAACATTGTACCAATACACGCCTCCATTATGGAACACTGCTTCCTAGCAGCGATTCTTTTGATGTCCGATGACATCGCCGATTATGCCATTCCCTGATGGGACATACGCGCATTGAAATCTGAGGTGTACTCCCCACGAAGCCACAAAATCTTTTGAATAGTCCACTGCGGAATGCAGTGTCATTTGTCAGTGAGGAGTTCCGCCGGAGGTCCACGTTCAAAGAATAATGACCCCAAGTGGTCAATGACGCTTATGGATCCTGTCGACGAGACGCCGCCAAATAGTGAACATGGTTGGGCCACAATCAATCAGGGTTAAATAGTGATGTCCGTTATAATGGGTGATGTCCATTCCAACACGGTGCCACACCTTGCTTACACTCACTTGTCCTTTTTGCCATTGCACAGGTGCTGGGTCGATGGACTGACACTCCTTGCATCCTCTGACCACTGCCCTGACAGCAGCTTTGGATACGGAGGGATAAATCTGCCTCACGAAATATAAGGCCTGTTTTACACCGGGATGTCCGTTTTGGCAATGCACAGATTTTAGTAAATCTGAGTTATAGTTGCTCGCTGATGTTACACAGACACGTTCTACCGGCTCTACCTCTTTCTTAATAGCGTCAAGCCATTTTTGTGGTACCCTTGTTAAAGTATCGGCCTTGTTCTGCTGTGATCTGACCAGCTGTATGTCTACGGATAAGTGGTATTCACTTACCAACTTTCCCAGTGTGTCTAGCCTCCTTCGAATGAGCATCTCGCTCACAGCCTTTGTACGTATCCTGGCCTTCCCCGTAAGAGTGTCTGCTATCCACTTATACACGCATGCGGAATCCGTGAATAAATGCAATACCTTTGCATTCCATTGAAGGGCCGCGGTGACTCCCCTGATAACGGCGTCTAATTCTGACATATTGATATGTTGCATATCCTTCTCGGGACGCAACCAACACGCATCTTCCATGACAGTGTCACCTACTTCAAGAGACACTCCTGTTG